TCTTGCGATTGCACGCTCGAAGTTTTGAAAGCAGGATTGAAAGCAAAAAATATGGGAAAAGAAACACAGAAAACAGAAAACAGATGTAATTCATAAACAAGAATGGTGATGAACTACGAAGAAAATCAGACAAAAGAATTGCACAAACTGTGTCAAGCGCAAGAACAGTGGCAGAAATCAAACAGATATTGGAACAGTGTGTAGCAAGAAGATGATTTTGGAAATAACGGGTACAAACAGAAGCAATGGTGATTAACAATGAGTAGAGCTTCTGGAAAAGCAACAAGAAAATAAAACCAGGAGGAAGAAAAAAAAAAAACAGTGGCTTACCAGAAAGGAGGAAAGTCGAAATGAGAAATTGCCAAATCTGACGACAATACAGAAATAACGTAAAGCTTTACGGAGGAGAAAAACGAAGATAGTTTGCAGAAGCTGAAAGCTTGAACAAATGACGGATTTAAGCAAAAGAGCTAGAAAGGAAAAAAAAAAAAAAAAAAAAAAAAGTTCCAGAGGATTAATGAAAAGAGAAAATAGTCAACAAGACGACAAAGTTCAAGATAAGCCAAGTGCACAGGCACTAAGTAAGTATGTGAAGAACAAGAAGTATGAGCCAGACATGATGTTAGCAACAGAAAGGATATGACAAAGAACAGTGCCATAGGCATTCAAAAATTCATGACTTGAAAAAGACAAAAATAGAAGACAACAAGGGCAATAACAGATTCCAAAGTAATCAGAAGAAGTTATGAAAAAGATGAGGTTTAATAGCAAGTAAAGAGGTTATGAACTACAAAGTGAAATAACGACCGATATGAAAATTGGTTGGAGTCAAATAAGATGAACTTGGAATCGGGAACTATCTTCACCAGAGTGTGAGTGACAGTTGTCAAAGCTCTTGGAGTTTACGAATTATGGAATAAAATCTCGCTAGGAGGTGCGATTTCCAGCAGTTTGGAAAACATGAAATTGATTCTGACACCAGTGGACACGGGAATCCAGAAACTTTGGGAGTCGGCAGTTTGATCTCAGACAGAGGGGCACAGATGGACGAACAGTGTGGTTCCAATGCACCTCAGAATGCCGAGGGTAATAGACTGGGGCAGTTTGTGGATATATTTTCTGAGTATCCAACTACGTGGCAAGGTTGAACGCTTGACGTTCAGCCGAGTGCACGGTGTCTTGGTCGTTGTGACGAGGTCATCCTCGGCTAGGCCGAGTTGCCTCCGAGATATCGAATCCGAGATAAGCGGGATACGAGACAAGAGTGCCTAGAATGAAGAGGGAACTCAACTTGGATATGGACAAGAGTCCTAAATTGAGAGAAAGACTTCAGTTTGGTAAAGATATAAACTCTAGAGAGTTTATCCTAATCCACTGGAAGTCCCAGATTAGCAGTAATCCTAAGTCCATTAGGCCAGGCTCCTAGACTGGATTGTATTGGCTTATAAAAGAGAGGCACCCCATCGGGTCTAAGGTATGCTTTTTGATACTCAGCTTGTGAAAGTTTAGTATCTTGATTTATCTTGAGAGATATCTGACTTGATCGTATCGGAAGGTGCCCCGGGTGGTCGAAACCTATTTTTTATGAAGGAAAGCCACTTTTACACACACAGAAGGCCACATGGGACAGGGACAACATTGCTTGGAGCACTTGGGGTTGTGAAGGCACGCTGGGTTCTCTCTCTCTCTCTTAAAGGAATATAAAAAGGAGGAGTGGATTGTTATGGAGACACACAGGTTGATTAAAATAAAGAAGAAGGATGGATAGTGCTTCAAAAGGTAAAGGAAAAGGTGCGAAGATCAGATGGGCTTGGCACCCTGCACATATGTCAAAGCAAGGCCATATCTTATGTGAGAAGCAGGGAAGATTGATGAAGCATACAAGACTACAAGGATTGCTTGGAAATTAATGGAGATAAGGTTCCACCTGCTGAGTTCGCCAAAGCTAGCAGCAGAATATTCAGAGTGTCCTCAGGGAAGAAGGTGGGAGACTAGGGATGGTTTCCGCGAGCAAAACGGCTGGGTCCATTTTCAGGATGTTGTCTTTAGTAACACCTGTTGGAGCTACCAGTGCACCATTTAAATCAACCTAACTCTGTTATTGCATTGCATGGTTGCAACAATAAAGGATTCGGGCCAATGAGTTATTCAAGAAGGAAATGGGCTGAGCAAAAGAATACATAGTGTAACAGCTAGAGCTTGAGTTGAATTCAAACCAGGTGGGAGATAAGGTGTTTGGCACCAAACATATGGAAGCTTGGTTTTCTTGTCAAAAAAAAGTGAATTCAGACCCGTGCCGAGTGGAGGGCGAGGTCGTCGGAGCCGGAGGAGATTGGTTTGATCGGGACACTCATATCTCTCTCGGAATCAGCCGCTGGATGTTGAGCGCGTGGTGCGTGCTGTTGAAAAAAACCAGTACAATCTGAATGTTTCGAATTCTTCGAGTCTAGGTGTAGGAGCAGTTACTGAGGATCCAGTATATGTATACTCCGAAAATATTGGAATATATGGTACCTTACTGTGGAATACATTATTGCTGTTTCTTTCTGTTCTGAGGTGTGGGGAGGCTTTTATGGCGTTTAGATCCTTTGTGAGGCGAAAGAAAGAGAAGATATCAACCATTGTTTCTTTGTCAAATGAGGATCTTATTATTAGATTGCAATCTTCATTTGATGGAAGTGGCTGTCATGAGCCTGATAAATCAGAATGGGGCTTGTTGATTGCTTAGGCACATGTCCTGAGTTATTTATATCCATGGAAAGAAAACCTTCAGTAGCAATGTGGTGGGGCATGTACTCTCAAACTCACAGGGCCAATTGTACATACATTTGTAGCATGTGGCACATTGATGTCGCATGTCCAGTTGGGAGTTCTTAATTCACAACCAGGGGTTCTTAGAATAAGAGTCACCGAAAGCACGGGTGTTAAGAAAGCGGAAAAGGGACACTTGTAGTGAAATTTTAAAATTAATTAATAAAGAGACTTAAGTAAAATTAAAATTAATTTATAAAGACCATCAATGTAGTATATTCATTATATTATTGGTCTTTATAATTTATTTTGATTTTGATTTTGATTTTTCTTAATTTTGCCCACTTAATTTTTCTGTTTCAATTGTTAACAAACATTTGATGGAGGGACCATCTTGCTAACAAAATTTAAATATTAAGGACCAAAATTTTAAATTAAATACGATAAACTAAAATAAAAAAAAAAAAAAAAAAAAAAACACTTTTACTTAAATTACAGGGACCAATGGTTAATTTAAATTTAATTAAAAAATTTCTCTCTTTTGTAAGAGATATTTGGACAATATTCTAACATAAATAAGTAGCAGTAGGACTCTTAAAAACACTAAATAATGGAAAATCAAAATTACAAAACGAATTAGGTTTAGATTAGAGAAAATTGATTAGAAAATCTTTTTCAAGCGTTTGTATCTCAATTAGTTATTAAGAATTCTTATATTCTATATAAATCCTATTTTGGACATTTGATCTACCAAATCTTAATTTTCATATTTAAGGTATTTTATGAACATTTTTACCCTTACCAAATATATCTTTTTGAACAGTCTAGCAATTTGGTGATGTGAACTATTTTCATATTTACAATGTAATATTCACATTGAACTTGTGAATGTTCACATTGACAATTATGATTCACATGTCAAAGTGAATATTCACATTGATATGTTAACATTCACATTGATGGTGTGAACATTTACATTGACAATGTGAAACATTCACATTTGATGTGTGAAATGTAAATGGTGAATATTATTTAGGGGTATTTTTGGGTAATATGTCACCATAGGGCTTATTGGAATATAAGAAATAATTGTAGACTAAAAGAATATAATAGTAGTTAAAAAATGATTTAGAAAAAGTGCCCCTTTAGTATTATTATAATGAAATTGTAACGAACTCTATTGACGTTTCGAACAATACTCTTCAATATAGATCGATGACAAATTTTTTTTTCTTATTATTTTTTGTTTTGGAGATTTGTCAGATAATCATTTAAAAAATAAAAATTCTTTTTCACAATAGAATTGACCTGATTTTGTTGTTTGTTTATTTCCTCTGTCTTTAGCTTTGCAAGTTGATGAGCCTTGGAATCTTCCTTGAATTCAAGGAAGGGGAAAGTGGTAATGTTTAGTGGGGTTAAAATTAACTTAAATTGGTTGTTTTTGTATTTTGTCTTCATATGTCATTTGATTTATATATTTTTAATCGATATTGATTTTAAAATTTATGTATTTAATTTCGATTCATATTAATAACATTCAATTCAGTGTTTTTGAAGTTTAAAACTGTTAATCATATGATTGAGATTGATTTACTTAGTAAGAAAATTTATAATTTAATAAAAATTTTAAGATTGAAATGGGACACCAAAACTATAAAAACTAGTGGTTAAAATTTACAACCCATGTTTATTTTCTATTGAATTTGAGTAATTGGGAATTAAGATTTGATTTTGGTTAGTTTCATAATTATCTTTAGTGGAAAAAAAGGTGTTCAAAATTTCACAAATTTTATTCAAATGAATTTTGTATTTCAAAATAAGAAAGTGGAATGTTTACACATTTTTTATTTGGAAGGATCTTTTAATTCACTATAAAAAATGATTATTCCCCAAGTAATATCAAAAACAGTTTATTAACACAAAAAAATTTTTTCATTTATCAACTTTGATTTCTTTTTTTGGTTTTACAAACGAAAATGTAAATGGTCCAATTCATTTAACAGATCTTTAATCTAGGAACAGATTCAGAATTTAACTTTAGAGAATAAAAATATATGTACACTTTTAATCAAAAATAAGTATTGCAAAATTTTAAATTTTAATTTATACCAACCACAAAAAAAATGAATAATATTAGTAGATTAATTGAAATATTCTTTATCAACATAATTGAAAACAAAAATATAAGGCAAACATATTTTTTTGGTTTACATTAACATTAACAATAAATCTTTAACTATTATTATGATCTACTCCTCTATTAAGTTAATTATTGGAAACTGTGGCTCTTCCATTTGCTTCTCTCCTTTTTGCAGAATGAAACCCTCTGCCATCCACAACAAGACTATCTCCTCTTCCTCGAATTCATAGTCGTTGGGTATTATTGAGCAGTATGCAAAACACTGCTTCAAATGCGAAGGGAGATGATGGTAACTTAATCTCAAAGCTGGAAGGATGTCACTTTCTTCGTGTGATAGTTCCCATATTTTACTACACAATACATCTACCCATTCCTCATCTCGTTCTTTGCAACGTAAAAGGCCACTGAGTGTCTTAGCAGCCAGAGGCAAACCTTTGCATTTCTCCACAATTTTCTTACCTATTGATACCAAATTTGGATTTGCATCAATACTTCTATTCTCAAAGGCATGTTGTGCAAACAATGACCAACAATCTTCATCTGATAGGATCTCAACGTCATGAAGTTCGACAGTTGCCATCATTCTTGCAATGTCTCTGCTGCGTGTAGTCACCACGACTTTACTCCCTTGAGCTCCATCATTGAAAGGGCTGCTCAAATCATTCCAGTCATTGTATTTTTTGTTCCAGACATCATCTAAAACAATTAAGAACTTCTTTCCGGCCAAAGCCTGCTTTAGTTGAACTTGAGCTTGATCCAAGTTATTAAAACTACATGTCTGGGAAGTGACTGAATCATAAATTGCTTTTGTTATTTTCATAATGTCAAACTCATCTGACACACAAACCCAGGCTTTCAGATCGAAATGCTTCTTCACGGTTTCATCGTTGTATACCATCTGAGCCAGGGTGGTCTTGCCAATCCCACCCATACCCACAATGGGAATTACGTCAACTTTGTTACGACTTGATTCACCCCCACCTACAAGCAACTGAATTATCTTTCTTTGATCCTTTTCTCTTCCATAAACACGAGGTTCTTTTAATAACGACGTAGACTCTGGTCTTTGCCAAGTCTTAGTAGGTGTGGTGGTTCCAACAATCTTAACCAAATTAAGTTTCGAACATTGTTCAAAACTAGTGCGTAATCTGGTAGTGATCTCCTCAATCTTGGACCTCATTTTGAAATTAAACCAAACATCTCCTGGCTTGAAATTAAGGATGGGATTCCATACCTTGCTGGAACTAGCTTGGTGTGGCTTTGCCTTGAGACTCTGTCGCAAAGCTTCGGTGGCGAACTCATCCACGACATCATCCAAATCATATGCCAGATCTTGGAGATCATCGAGCCACAAGTTCACGGCTCGATCTGTCATTTGCTTCTCCTCCGCGTCAATCAAAAGAGCTTCAATTTGAGACAGCATATTGGTCCAATTGGTGAACTGGGCACCAATACCTTCAAAGGTGGGTAATTTGGAGGAGGCAAAAGAGGTCATCTTCTCAAACAGCAATTTGACGAAGGCAGAGAGAAAGATCTCTGCTATAGGCATTGTTTTTTATTACAGAAGGAAAACAAAAAACCAACAGATCCGAAGCAAAAGCAAAGAGGTTGTTAACTTTTTTTCAGTGAAAAAAGTTTTAGCAGTCTCAAAAATGGCTATATTTTTGTGATGAGAAGAAGAAATTATTGAGTGCTGAGCCGCGAAGAAGTCAAAAGTGGAGTCTCCTTTCAATGGCCCCTTGTCCCGCTGCGAAAGCAACATATAAATTAAAAATAAAAATAAAATACTCAAAATAAAGAACCCAAATATTATATTATTGTTAGTAGAAAGAACTCAAACATTATATTATTGAGTGCTGAGAATAAAGTAAAAAATGGCGTCTTCTTTTATTGGCTCCCGGTCCCTCTAGGAAAACAACATATAAATAAATTAAAAATATAAAAGAACCCAAGTCGGTAGAACCCAATTATTTTTTAATATATTTTTAAATGAATTCATATTTCTATCATGATTTTTCTCAGTTGGTAGAGAGTGGCTTTAGAAGTTTTTCAATCTTTACCCAATAATATGGGGTTTTGGTTAATACATTTTCAATTTTGTTTGAATTTAAAATGGAAAAATATTATGAGTAAAATAAAAGAGGGACTAAAGTAAAATTTAAAATCAATTATAAAGACCATCAGTGTAATATATTCATTATATTATTGGTCTTTATAATTTGTTTTGAATTTTATTTTGATTTTTCTAATTTTGCACTTAATTTTTTCTGTTTCAATTGTTAACAACATTTGATGGAGGAACCATCTTGTAACAAAATTTAAAATATAAGGACCAAAATGTTTAAATTAAAATTACGATAACTAAAATGACACTTTACTTAAATTACAGAGACCAATGGTTTAGTTTACAATTTAATTAAAAAAAAATTTCACTCTTTTGTAAGAGATAATTGGACAAATATTCTAACATGAATAATGAAGAGTAGTGTAATGACTCAAAAAAAAAAAAATAAATAAATAAAAATTAAAAAATAAATAAATAAAGGAAGGGAATATATTCTGATGATGGTTTTTGTGGTGGAGGATATTTCTTTACAAAAGAGAGAAGTGAGTGCTGAGTGGGGTTCAAGCATCGGAAGAAAAATATATTTTTTATGAAGAAAGCCACTTTTACACACACAGAAGGCACATGGGGACAGGGACAACATTGCTTGGAGCACTTGGGGTGAAGGCACGCGGGTTCTCTCTCTCTCTCTTAAAGGAATATAAAAAGGAGGGAGTGGATGTGTTATGGAGACACACAGGTGATAAAATAAAGAAGAAGTGATGATAGTGCTTCAAAAGGTAAAGGAAAAGGTGCGAAGACAGATGGGCTTGGCACCTGCACATATGTCAAAGCAAGGCATATCTTATGTGAGAAGCAAGGGAAGATTGATGAAGCATACAAGAAGCTACAAGATTGCTGGAAAATTAATGGAGATAAGGTTCCACCTGCTGAGTTCGCAAAGCTAGCAGCAGAATATTCAGAGTGTCCATCAGGGAAGAAGAGTGGAGACTAGGGATGGTTTCCGCGAGGCAAGACGGCTGGTCCATTTCAGGATGTTGTCTTTAGTAACACCTGTTGGAGCTACCAGTGCACCATTTAAATCAACCTAACTCTGTTATGCTATTGATGGTTGCAACAATAAAGGATCGGGCCAATGAGTTATTCAAGAAGGAAATGGGCTGAGCAAAAGAATACATAGTGTAACAGCTAGAGCTTGAGTTGAATCAAACCAGGTGGAGATAAGGTGTTTGGCACCAAACATATGGAAGCTTGGTTCTTGTCAAAAAAAGTGAATTCAGACCCGTGCCGGAGTGGAGGGCCGAGTTCGTGGAGCCGGAGGAGATTTGGTTGATCGGGACCACTCATATCTCTCTCGAATCAGCGCTGGATGTTGAGCGCGTGGTGCGTGCTGTGAAACCAGTACAATCTGAATGTTCGAATTCTTCGAGTCTAGGTGTAGAGCAGTCTACTGAGGATCAGTATATGTATACTCCGAAAATATTGGAATATATGGTACCTTCTGTGGAATACATTATTGCTGTTCTTTCTGTTCTGAGGTGTGGGGAGGCTTTTATGCGTTTAGATCCTTTGTGGGCGAAAGAAAGAATATCAACCATTGTTTCTTTGTCAAATGAGGATCTTATTATTAGATGCCAATCTTCATTTGATGGAAGTGGCTGTCATGAGCCTGATAAATCAGATGGGCTTGTTGATTGTAGCACATGTCCTGAGTTATTTATATCCATGAAAGAAAACCTTCAGTAGCAATGTGGTGGGGCATACTCCTCAAACTACAGGAGCCAATTGTACATACAATTGTAGCATGTGGCACATTGATGTCAGCATGTCCAGTGGAGTTCTTAATTCACAACCAGGGGTTCTAGGAATAAGAGTCACGAAAGCACGGGTGTTAAGAAGCGAAAGGGACACTTGTAGTGAAATTTAAAATTAATTATAAAGAGACTAAAGTAAAATTTAAAATTAATTATAAAGACCATCAATGTAGTATATTCATTATATTATTGGTCTTTATAATTTATTTTGATTTTGATTTTGATTTTTCTAATTTTGCACTTAATTTTTTCTGTTTCAATTGTTAACAACATTTGATGGAGGGACCATCTTGTAACAAAATTTAAAATATAAGGACCAAAATGTTTAAATTAAAATTACGATAACTAAAATAACACTTTACTTAAATTACAGGGACCAATGGTTTAATTTATAATTTAATTAAAAAAAAATTTCTCTCTTTTGTAAGAGATAATTTGACAAATATTCTAACATAAATAATGTAGAGTAGAACTCTAAAAACACTAAATAATGGAAAATTCAAAATACAAAACGAATGGTTTAGATTAGAGAAATTTATTAGAAAATCTTTTTTCAAGCGTTTGTATCTCAATTAGTTTATAAGATATTCTTATATTCTATAAATCCTATTATTTGGACATTTGATCTACCAAATCTTAATTTTCATATTTAAGGTATTTTATGAACATTTTTACCCTTACAAATATTTTTTGAACAGTTAGCAATTTGGTGATGTGAACATTCATATTTTACAATGTAAATATTCACATTGACGTGTGAATGTTCACATTGACAATATGATTCACATGTCAAAGTGAATATTCACATTGATATGTTAACATTCACATTGATGGTGTGAACATTTACATTGACAATGTGAACATTCACATTGATGGTGTGAAATGTAAATGTGAATATTATTAGGGGTATTTTGGTAACTATGTCACCCATAGGGCTTATTGGAATATAAGAAAATAATGTAGACTAAAAGGAATATAAGTAGGTAAAAAATGATTTATGAAAAAGTGCCCCTTTAGATTATTATAATGAAACTTGTAACGAACTCTATGAGTTCGAACAATACTCTTCAATATAGATCGATGACTAAATTTTTTATTTCTTATTATTTTTGTGGAGATTTGTCAGATAATCATAAAAAATAAAAATTCTTTTTCACAATAGAATTGACCTGATTTTGTTGTTTGTTTTATTTCCTTGTCTTTAGTTGCAAGTTGATAGCCTTGAATCTTCCTTGAATCAAGAAGGGGAAAGTGGTAATGTTTAGTGGGTAAAATTAACTTAAATTGGTTGTTTTTGTATTTTGTCTCATATGTCATTTTGATTTATATATTTTTAATCGATTTGATTTTAAATTTTGTATTAATTCGATTCAATTAATAACATCAATTAGTGTTTTTGAAGTAAAACTGTTAATCATATGATTGAGATTGATTTACTTAGTTAAGAAAATTTATAATTTAATAAAAATTATAAAGATTGAAATGACACCAAAACTATAAAAACTAGTGGTTAAAATTTACACATGTTTATTTTCTTATTGTAATGAGTAATGGGAATTAAGATTTGATTTGGTTAGTTTCATATTAATCTTTGTGGAAAAAAGTGTCAAAATTCACAAATTTTTATCAAATGATTTTGTATTTTCAAAATAAGAAAGTGGAAATGTTTACACATTTTTTATTGGAAGGATCTTTTAATTTCACTATAAAAAATGATTATTCCCCAAAGTAATTATCAAAAACAGTTTATTAAACAAAATTTTCATATCAACTTCTGATTTTCTTTTTTTGTTTTACCAAACGAAAATGTAAAATGGTCCAATCATTTAACAAGATCTTTAATCAGGAACAGATTCAGAATTTAAACTTTAGAGAATAAAAATATATGTAACTTTTAATCAAAAATAAGTATTGCAAAATTTTAAATTTTAATTTATACCAACACAAAAAAATGAATAATATTAGTATTAATTGAATATTCTTTATCAACATAATTGAAAACAAAAATATAAGCAAACATATTTTTTTGGTTTACATTAACTTAACAAAAATCTTAACTATTATTATGTCTACTCCTCTATTAAAGTTAATTATTTGGAAACTGTGGGGATATATTTTCTGAGTACCAACACGTGGCAAGGTGACGCCGACGTGTCAGCCGAGGTGCCACGTGTCTTGGTCGTTGTGCCGAGGTCATCTCGGCTAGGCCGAGGTTGCCTCCGAAGATATCGGAATCCGAGATAAGCGGATAAGAGACAAGAGTCCTAGAATGAAGAGGGAACTCAACTTGGATATGGACAAGAGTCCTAAATTGAGAGAAGACTTCAGTTTGGATTAAGATAAAACTCTTAGAGAGTTTATCCTAATCCCACTGGAAGTCCCAGATTAGCAGTAATCCTAAGTCCATTAGGGCCAGGCTCCTATTGGGACTAGGATTGTATTGGCTATAAAAGAGAGGCACCCCCATGGGTCCAAGGTATGGCCTTTGATACTCAAGCTTGTGAGTTTAGTACTTGATTTATCTTTGAGAGATATACTGACTTGATCGTCGGAGTGCCCCCGGGTGGTCGAAACCACCGCGGGATTCTTATATTTCTGTTGCAGGTCAGTCAGGTGCCATCTATTCTGCCAGTGCTCTCCAGCTGGTTACTAAGCGGGCAGTGTGGTCGGAAAATCACCCACACAATTACCATTTTGATTAAGTCCTATTGCAATGCAATATATTCTATTGTTTAGTACATCTTAGTCAATTTAATTATTATTATGATTCATGTTTGTATTTTTTAAGATTTTTTTTTTTATTTTGAAAAAATACAATACATTAGATTAGGATAACTAAATGATTTGTTTATTTTAATGTCTTTATTTGTGTTTGAATTTGAGCCACTCAAATTTAGTCGGAAATTTTTTGAGTTAAACTCGTATTCGGATTTAGACAAAATATTCAGTTAAACGTTACGCTTAGACTATATGAACATATTTTTTTACACTTGAAGTTGGTTTGTTTGGAATTTTGAATTTTTAAATAATTTTTTAATTTCTTTTTATAAAAAATGTATTAAAAAAATTTTGTATTTACTTTTTAACTATTTTAATTGCCAAACATTAAACAGAGCATGAGTTCACCCAAACCCGTCCAAGTTGCCCCTTTACATTGGTTTGGGAAGTGAGTTGGCTTTTTGACTTTTTTGGCTATTTTAGTCTAGGCTAAAAAACTTGGTTTGGAAAGGACTTTTTGACTTTTTGACTTTTTTGACTTTTTTTGTGAGAGAAGAGTGTAATGATTATGTGTTGGATGTAATGTTTTATTTTTTGTAACTAAAATAATCTATTTTGTATTTTGTGACTAAAATAACCAAAAAAACCCAATCTAACTCTTCCCAAACAGAGAAAAAATTAATTAGCAGTTCATAGGGTAAATCCATACAGTGTCTCAACTTATTTTTTATTAATTAATACAATAGACTTATTATTTTTAAGTTGATTTTTAATGGACAACATGACTAGTATTAAAAGCTAAATGATATAGAGTGGGAGTTATTTAGTAGTTTTGAAACAACATTTTATACCATTCGTAATGTAACACTTGTGCATATTGTTACAAAATTAGTATAAAAGTAACATGCCTCATTATTTAAATCAATAAATCCAAACTAAAACACTAAACATCACAGTATAATGAATTGGTTTTGTGTAATTAACTATAGAGTAGTGATTGGTAGCTCGAATTTGAGCCTCCCGAATCTCCCGAATTCAAAAAACGACGTCGTTTTTGAATTCTTTTTCTTTTTTTTTCAGAAGAAGAAAATCAGAGGAAGAAGGAGGAAGGAGGAGAAGAAGAGAAGAAGTAGAGGCGGAGGCGGAGGCGGAGGCGACGGCGGCCAGGCGGAGGCAGAGGCGGACGAGCTATGACGATCGGCCGGGTTGCGATGATCGGACGATCGGCCGGAATGCAGGGGCCTCTCTGTGTCTCCATTCCCTCTTCTCTCTTCTCTCCCTCTCTTGCGACGAGCTCTTCTCTCCTCCCCTCTCTCTTTCTCCCTCTCTCTCTCTTGCCTTCGATTTCTTCACATTCGAGGGATTCGGGGGAATAATTTTTCGGGAGAAAAATCATTTGTCTTAACTATAATTAATAATATATAATTAAAAAACAAAAATAAAATAGGAAAATTTACCAATAAATCCTATTTGACAAACTCTTAAACCAATTAGTCCCAACTTTTTTCTTTTGTTCAGGTAAGTCCTATCAGTGGGGAAGTTTGTTACTTGTTGATCCTATTTTCCATATTTGGTGTAAATGTGTGGACAGTTTTACCCATTATTGTTATGTTTCCAAATTAAAATATTTGGGACTAATTGGATTATAATATCAACAAGTAGGATTTATTGGTAAATCTCCCAATAAAATATCTCCCTCACAATTTCTAAATAATTATTAAAATTTAAATTTTTTTACGTAATAAATTATAAATTATAAGTAAAAATTACATTAAATAATCTAAGAATATGAGAAGCTTGGTACACCAAGCATACCCCATGTCCCTCCATTACCACCACCGAATAACATCAATAAAAAAGAATGATCAATACCATCTTAAAAAAAAAAAGAAAAAGAAAAACAAAGGGATCAATAACGGTGACTCACTGCGTGAGTGAGTGAGTGAGTTGTCTTACTCCGCATTGTGTGGGGAGTGAGCAGTGGGCGGTAGACCAGACAAATGACGCGCACGTGATATTTACCCCCACAAACCAACTCTGTAACCGCCCTCGCTCTCTCTCTCTCTCTCCATGCTCTCCCTCCATAAAAACTCTCTCCATCTTTACTCACCCATCTCAAGCAACAACGCCATCTCTCTCTCTCTAAACATTTTTCTGGTTTTTTTTTTTTTTGGCCACCACTTTCTGGGTTCAGCTGAATTCAACTTGTTACGACACAATGAAAACTGCAGACACAAACTCCTCCTCAACTGAGCTCCAAGACCATGGCAATAGTACTGCACCCCAAACTGAAATCCTCATTCCAATTCACAAGGTAATATACATCTTCTATTTCTATGTTGTCCAAAATTTTCTGGTAAAATTTCAATCCCTATTTTGCATTTTTCAGATAGATAATCCCTCTGCAATAGCGTCAGAAACACCCAATCCCAAGCATTGGAAGAAACAAAACCTCTTCTTGGAAGTACCCACAAGAAGATTACAGGTCTCTCCTCATGATGAATTCGTTCAAATCAAGATGCCTCCAACCCCAACACCCACTCCCAAGAAAGTGAATTTCGTCCTCACACCAAGCCCTTCCGATGCCAGAACAATTGGCTCTCCAGGACCCTCCTCAGCCAGAGGCAAATCGGGGTTCAAAAATCTTCTACCGAAGCTGAGCTTCAAGGCTCGGAGTTCTCAGTCAGATGCAGAGAGAGCTACTGCAAATCCAGATGTTGAAGCTTCGTCTCCATTGCCTTTACCGCAAGAGAAGCCTTCTATCTCGAGGTCATGGTCGCTTACCAGAATTTTTACTCCCAGGATGAGGAGTACAACATCTTCTCTACCTGTTACTCCAGTTGGGCAATCGAATCCGGAATCAATTGGTGGAGAAAACCTTGGAGGTTTAGTCAATTTGAATGTAAGTTTTTTATGAATTTTGCTTATGCAATTTTACTTGAGGAGTAGGGAAAATAATCATTTGATTGCATTCATGGATTGGGTTTGGTTTGGTCTAACTAACCATCATCAGGGTGATTTGGTTTGAAGGTCTTCTTTGTGTTTGACTCAGGCTGGTGACTCCTAGGCTTAACTGATACTTATGGGTAGTTGCAGGTAGATTTACAAATGAAATGAGCTGTTCATCGACTATTCTGAACTTGGCTTGGTGCTATATGAATGAGCTTGGATCAAATTTTTATAGTACTTTTTTCATAACCGAGCCGAGTTTTAGTAAACAAAAGCTTAGGTTGGATAGGCTCGTGAATGCAATGATACATAAATTAATATTTATTTGTAATAATATACTCCTATCAAATATATTTTTATTACTTTATTTAATTTTTATGATTATGTTTGGCGTTTTTGGCATTTTTGTAAATTTACATATTTGATAAATAAAGTTTACAAATAATATAAGAATTATTTATATTTTGCTTATAATTTCCTTTTCTTTTTTTTCTTAATTTGTATGCTAATTTAAGTTTTAATTTTCTTTTCAACTGCTAGCCGAGCTCGAGTTTCACAAATGCTATCAAGCTCGAGCTCAAATTTGATTTTTTAAGCTTGACTTAAGACCGGCTTGAGTTTGAGCTTGAATAATTTTCAGCAAGCTGAGCTTGCCATCCCAAAGTTCGGCTCGTGCTCAGTTCTAGCTGCAGGTATATGGTTTACCCAACAGGGTGTGTCCAAAATGACTCCACCTTGGAGGGGTTATTCGCCAGTCAAAAGAAAGAAGAAGAGATTTGGCCTAGCCAGACTCTTAACAGACATGGCTAGGGTGGATTTTTCAATTTATGGATTGGGTTAAGATTGTGCCAGTAAATCGTTGTCTTTAGGCATCTATTTAGCCTGCCCTAACGAAAACTTGGCATTTTCTCCAGTATATTATTTATTGTTTATTGTGTATAATCTTTATATTAGAACTGCTTATCTGGATGAACAATAATGAAATCTTGGGAATGACTGATGACAGCATTAGAAATACCCAATTGAGCAATGTATTGCCTTTTTGGTGTACTTTTCTTAACTGAGATAAGCCTTACGTTAAACAACTCTCTGGTAATTTAGTGTTTGGATGGCGGTCACTCAGCCAGCTCCCCCTGCCTGACTGGTGCTACGTATGTGTATGGTGTGTATGCACATAGTGGATGGCAATGACACCTCCAGTGTAATTACCCACCTTAGGCTCTTGTTTTGAGTTTTTTCTATTCATCGCCAGGAATGGAATTGAGAGGACTATTTTCAAATTTTGTTTGGTATGGCACTATGGATGAATGGTTAAGTGAATTTGAGCTTCTGGGACTATCTATGGAGATTTACATCAAATTTATGGAGATTTACATCAAATTTTCTGAATGGTTAAGTGAATTTGAGTGATTTACATCAAATTTATGAAGATTCAGACTCTTCTGGTTTTTACGATTTTTCTGGGACTATCTATTTTTTGTAAGTCTATTTCTGAGTAGCTGTTGCATCTCAACATCAGTTTCATATGCATAGAAACATCTTAGCATCTGTTGTGGTGTTTTTGTAGACAAAAGGAGCCCCTCGCCAGATATCTCGCTCACTTTCGGTCCCTGTCATCAGAAAAGAAAGAAGAATGAAGAGATCAGATTCATTTTTCCGCGTGATTCCCTCAACTCCTCGAGTGAAGGAAGTGGATTCCACCATGCCAAATGCAACAACTCCAACTGGAGACACTGGTATTTTGTTGTCTTTAGTATCTAAAATTGTTGTGTTTAAATGCTGAAAGATAATTATAACTTGAATTCATTATTGAATATTCTAGATTCAACATATGCTCTACTATAGTCTTCTCCAAACATATATTCTATTTCAAGTTTTTGTTTTGTTTACCTTCAATTCTAATGTTAAGATCATATTCAGAAAACAATGAAGATGACGGTGAAGATATACATGAAGAAGAGGCTGTTTGTAGAATTTGTTTGGTCGAGTTATGTGAAGGCGGCGAGACCCTCAAGATGGAATGCAGCTGTAAAGGTGAACTTGCTTTGGCTCATAAAGAGTGTGCTATAAAATGGTTTAGCATCAAAGGTAACAAGATCTGCGATGTGTGCAAGCAAGAGGTTCAAAATTTATCTGTCACACTTCTACGGGTTCAAAGTGTTCAAAATCCAAATTCTGGAGCAAATAGAGCCCTACAGATGGAAATTAATGGATACAGGCAAGTGAAATATTTGGTATTTATTCTTGGCTGTGAAAATATATTTGCATGTGAACACTCTTTATAAGCATGCCCCATAGTTTGGGACCCCAAACATCAATCCCCGCAATCCCAACATCCCCTAATAGAGGCTATCTTAGCTTCTTAGTCCTAGAAGGATGGGGCTTGGCATTCTTCTATTTTGTTACAATGTCATTAAGTTGCTCGCATGGACATACCACAAAACACTCCGGGTGTCTATTTTCCTGCACTTCTCTAACCATGTCCTACATGTCCGAGCAACTTGATGAGAATTGTTCTTTAAGCCTAGTTATAAGATATCAAACCTAACTGGTAATTGCTATCTTATCTAATCTCTTAAACCCTTCGCCTTTTCCTGAATAAGTTCTTTATACAATCTTCTTCATCACTTGCCTCCTACAGTTCACTCACTATCTTACCCCTAAAACTTGATCACAAGTTGTGTTGGGTGGGACTTCAATTCTATCTCTTTCGGCAAGGCTAAATGACCCTGAAGGAATTTTTATTGATGAAAAAGATGCTTACTCCCGAGTTTTACATGGCATAGAAATCAAAAAAAAAGAAAGGAAACATTAAAAAAATAGGAATTTATTAGAGTTGGATTGCCATAATTTTCAAGTAGTTTTGTCCTGTGTTGTACCTTTATCTGTTTTCATATTATACCATCAAGATCAAGATTTCTGGTTATACATCAACATTTAACATCCATACTACTTCACATCTGGGTTGGTCTGGCTTAAATTTTTGTATTATAATTCTTGTTAGGATTTGGCAGGAAGTGTCTATTCTTGTCATTGTCAGCATGCTTGCCTACTTTTGTTTTCTCGAGCAGCTTCTGGTAAGATTAGTAGCTCTTCTTCCTGCTCAAAATTTACCAATAAAATATATTTATTTTTTTGTAATATTTTTGTTTTCACGCAGGTTGGAAAAATGGGTACTGGTGCAGTTGCCATATCTCTTCCATTTTCTTGTGTGTTGGGTCTCCTTTCTTCCATGACCTCTTCAACCATGGGTAAGCTAAGTTCCTAGAGAAACATATAGTAGACAGTTGAGTCTGTTATAGGATATAGAAGTACTATCAAGAAAAGTACCAAACAACTATAAATTGGTTCATATCCATGATGGTCGGCTCAAATGGTAAGTTGCTTAGGTTTTATCCAGGAGGTCTTAGGTTCGAGTCCTACTTCGCCTGATATGTGAGGCTAGCAGGTGGTCACATGTATCCCAAGTTTGTGCTTCTGGGGTGGGCAATAATAATAAATAAATAAATAACTATAAATATGCAAGTAATAAACCTGTAGTCTGTTGAATGGTCCCAGCTGTGGTATTTTATAGGTGTGGAGTTAATCCAATTAGATAATATGAAAAATACAATTTATCCACAAAAATCATTGTACGGGGAGGAAATAATTCTCCTCGTATAATCCTGTTGACCAAATCCACGCTTCTCCGTACGACGTCGCTTTGTCACCTGAAAACACAAACGTGAGCTAGCCGGCGGGTGTGTGCCGGAAACCTCTCCGATGCCTAAGTCAGTAAACTTGACAAATAGACAAAGCTCTAAGTTCTCAGAAAGATTGTGTTCAATTACCTCCTCCAAGGTGATGCTTGTAGGCTTTTATAAGTGGCGTAGCAAAAAACAATCCCTCACTGCCCGTTCTAGCACCGAAGCTGAATACCGAGCTCTTGCTGATACTACTCCGGAACTTCTCTGGCTTCGCTGGCTCCTCACTGATATGGGTGTTTCCTCTTCTGGCGCTACCTCTCTTTATTGTGACAATCAGAGTGCTATTCAGATTGCTCACAATGATGTTTTTCATGATCGCACCAAGCATATTGAGATTGATTGCCACTTCATTTGACAACATGTTACACGTGGTACTGTTCATCTTCCCCCCATTGCTTCTGCCGATCAACCTGCTGATATTTTCACCAAGGCTCATCCTCCTGGGCGCTTCCGTGATCTTGTTTCCAAACTCAACTTGGTCGATGCCTACCCTCTTTGAGTTTGTGGGGGGCTGTTAAAGTATACAATACAATACACACACCAGCACACACCCACTAGCATCACATGTTATACAATACAATACACACTGTAAAGCACACACCGGCACACACCCACTAGCATCACATGTTCGGATCACACTGTAAAGCACACACCAGCACACACCCACTAGCACACACCAGCACACAAGAAAGCTTTAGCAATAGTTTAATGTATTGTAATATACACTTTCGGTCACCTTCTCCTCTCTATAAATAGAGAGAGCTCAGTCTCTTGTAATATATATAAAACAACAGACACTGACTATACATCACTGTCATTTCAGTCCTTCTCCTCTCTTTCATTTCAGTCTTTAACTTTCACAATTTAAGCCGGATCTACACAAGCTGTTTATGACCAGTTTAGTTTGTTTGTAGGTAAAACATAAAATGTTTCTCGTGTTTTGAATTTATTTATTTTTACTGCATTTTACAGGTTCATGTGCAAGCAGTCCTGTCGATTCTCCTCTCAACATTTACCGGGTTTGGCATTGCAATGAGTGGGAGTTCCATTCTCGTTGAATTCTTTAGATGGAGAAGACATTGGCGTGCCTGGTCACCCGATGCGTCCCAATTTGTGCCAACCCCAAATCGACACCCTCAAATTGCAATTCCATCCCAGATAGTTACTCATCACCACCGAACTGATGTAGAAAATCCAGAAACTTTTAGCGGGAGCTGAATTAGCACTCGACGGTGACTGGTAACTTCTTGGTGGAAAATATTTTAGACAAACATTTGATGTCCCTCCCGGTACAACTTGGGATCTTAATACTTTCATCGGTGAAAAAGAATAGAGAAAAATCGAATTTACCTCACGCTTTTGTATTAGGAATACAAAACCAGGTTGGGAGAGGGTTAGGAGCAGTAATAGAGTGAATTTGGAATGAAGCGTTCCAGTTGTTGTATGTCAAGATATGTATCACATGCTTGCAAGCTTTGTATTGTGCAGTAAAGGAATGGCAATGAAACCCATTTGAGAATGGGCATGTTTTCTTTGAATTGCTACTGTAATTGTCAACAGAAATGACTGCTCCCAAAATCTGTGGAAATTTTCCCCTCTACCTAAAGTGTTTCTTGTTCGGGAATGGCTTCTGTCCGGTCCTTAATCGGACTGGACCGTGCTGTTGGGCCCGTGGAGGCTCACCACGGGTCCCGTTTTGATAATCTGAATCGTGCAATGTATAGGACTCGTTGAGTACTATATGTCTGTAAAAAATCATGTTGATCGGATATCGATAGCTATGTGATCAAAACAGATTTTTGTCAACTGTTAATTTATTCACCATTCATTTTTTTTATACAAAACTGATTTGATCACATAGCTATCAATATCCGATTAACGTGATTTTTTACAGGCATATAATACTCGACGAGTTTTACACATTGACGGTTCAGATTATCAAAACGGGACCCGTGGTGAACCCCCACGGGCCCAACAGCACGGTCCAATCCGATTAAAGACTAAATAAAAACCATGCCCTTATTAGGTGGCGACTCTAAAATTTGATGACGCAATCCATTTTTGACAAAATTGCAATACAATGGATTTTCAATAAAAGTTGCCAAATCTGAACTCTCATCTACGTTTCACATTGCACTCGTGAGATTAGTTCAAAGAGATCTCGAGGGTCCGAACTGTTTAACCCGCGCAGGTATCCCCAGGCATGTTACACTTACTCATTTAGAATTTTTTAGGTGGGTAGTTATGTGATAGAAATTAAATTTGTATAATGTAGGGTTTGTGTATAAAATAAATCTGAATCACAAAATGATAATACTGAGTAATTTTTGGATAGTTAAATTTGAGTTTGTAATATTACTGTTTTAAATTTTTCTATTTTCTTGTCTTAGAACAGCCATAGGCTTGTTTTGGAAAGTAAGAAAAAAACTAACTTATTGATTATTTTTTTATTTTTTTGAAAAAATATGTAAAAAAAGATAGTGATGATGTGATTTAAAAATGAATTTTTGGTGAAACCTCTCTTTTTGGGCCTTTTTTTAAGGGTAAATGACAACTCAATGACTTTTCCTTCAAGAAGTCCTTGAGTAACGGACTCATGGCTAAATAAAGACATTCTATAATTTATAATTTTTTTTATCATATTGCCCTTTATATATATATATATACTACTAAAAAAAAAAACACTTTTTGCAACTGCTACAAGCCACAAATAATAAAAATACAATTGCAAAAAACTTTTTGTGATGGCTTATGCGACCGACCGCCTAAACTACTTTTTGCGATAGCTATTTTGCCATCGCAAAAAAAATAAAAAACACTTTTAACAACCGTTGTTTTACTGTCACAAATAATTATTTATTAAAAAAAATCATATATGAGTTTGCTACAACAAAAAAATCAATTACAAGCACCAAACAATTTTTTGTTAATGAAAAATAACAAAATTAACAAATTAATTAAATTTATAATAGACATTATCCATTAACCATTCTTAAATACACTGTACTAAAAAATTCAAGTCTTCAAAAAAGAAAAAGAAAAAAGAGCAACATAATCTTTGGGTCCCAACATCACTTGCTCGATCGTATCAACTATTCCCTCAACAAAATCTGCAAAAACATATGCCAAACCATGAACGAGTAACAATTCAAATATTATATTATACTACTATTATCAAATCTTAATATTGAACCTGAACCCAGCAAAATCTGTAGATGAATAAGTCTAGAGAAAGTTCAACTCCATTAAAGCCAACCTCTTTGAATGCTTCATTGTAGAAAGAATAATATTAGGGACCATGAAAAAAATATCATGAAATGTTTCATGAAATTTTTTTATCTTTGATTAATGTGTGACTTGCTGTGGGCAACAGGCTTCCCAATAATGCCAAATACTTTTGTATCAAGTCTTATCTGTCTGAGATTGTACAAGTTCACCAAATTATCAATTGTTGGTACTATCTCAAGGGTACCAAAAGTAAGATATCCCCCAAATTTGGGACAAAGTATCCTTGCCATCAAACCCTTTCACCCATAACCATTGCTATTATTGGGACCTGAAATTTTATAAATGTTGCATGTAAATCACAACAGATGGAATGAACTCAAAAAATATTCATACAAATAAAGACCCTTGAAAGAATTTCTCATACATGACATTTTAAAAAGAGGGTATCGCATACTTGCAACTCCTAGAAAAATAAGAAAATAATAGGAAGAATACTAATGCTTTCAGAAAAAGAACTACTAATTGTTCATAACTAATATTAAAAAAGTAATACTAATGCTTTCAAATCAGGACAGAGAAGACCAAAGAAGACCTATTTTAGTAGCTCTTTATAAGAACAAAAGTCAAAATACTAACATGCTAAAAACTACAAATAAATGAAAGCAATGTAGATATGTAACTACAAGCATACCGGCTACCCTGGAGCATCGCATTTTCAGTGCTGATATCAGTATACATATCACCATTTATGGGAGGAGCTACAGGACTTCCCAGCACAACTGAACCATCAGAAACTGCATCAGGAATCGTTTGCCTGGTTCTTTCATCAGCAAACACTTATCTTCCAGGTAACCTTCCCACCTGTACATTGGATGCAGCAGCTGCAGCTGCAGCATGTGAAGCAGCACTCGTTGTCTCAGCAGCAGCCAGATCTTCAGCAACTAGTGGGTCATCAAGTAAAACCCCTGCAGGACAAACATATCAAACACAAAGTACTGCTTTAGAATCAACTAAAAAATTGGTCAACATAACATGCTAATCATATAGAGGAAATTAACTTCAAAATATTTGGTTTCTAGGATGAAATAGGAGTTGCTTGGGTAGGACATGAATGCACGGGCATTAGAAGTATGACAATGGAAACTTCTTAGAATTTTCAGAACAACAAAAAGGAAGAGCAGGAACAAGAACACACACTTTTGTGAAGGGAAGAAAGGAGGGCAAAAAACTGACATAAAAGATGATATTCGTTGGATCAAATTTTTAACATGACGAGTTAAAAAGTACTGGACAATTACACCACCACTACAATCATATAAACTAAATAGATTTGCCTTATGAAAAGGCATAAACCAAAATCGGCATAGCCATTAGATGTCATCAAATCTTCCAAAACCTTGTTTAAACTGGGAACATAACAATTCAATAACTCCTTATACAGTCAATTTCAGCAACAGAATTCCCACCATATGTTCTATACAGGACCATATTTTTAGTTAAACCAATAAACCATAAAATAGCATGCTTATCAGCATTGTATGAAGTTATGGATGAACTATTAATGAGTCCTAATTAAAAAACTTATTCAAGGTATTCTAATGAAGTGAGGAATGCTCACCCTTAGATCTTAATAGTTTTCAGTAACTAAAAGCTACATGCCTCTCTCCTCGAACTGTTCTTATGCCACTTGATCACACATCCGTAACCAATTATCAATTTGTCCTTTTCCTTTTCTATTCTTTTTTCCCAAATTTAAATGAGTAGAAAATCTTTCCTCTCTCAGATAAACTATCATATAATTTACTTAACCAAAGAAAATGAGCAGGTCCTTCCACTTCTTGTACAACTTATTCAACAATCCCATTACAAAGTAACTTCCATGAGAAACATCTAGAGCGAAGCTAAAGTTATTTTGGGATACTCTTCTTCAATGCTAGTTGTTTAAGCTAAAATAGTGCTGCTAATAAGATTTATCTGTTCCTTCGTTGAATGGCTAGTCTTTGTTAACAGATCTATTTGCTCAAGTTAGCTCTACTGAGCCACAAACATCTAAACAAATAATGTATTCTGTTTCAAACTCCCAAAAAAATTACATCACTGTTGTGTTTGCCAAATACTACCATCTCTGGCCAATTAAAACTCAACTCCATGTGAACTAGCAGAAATCTACATTTCTGACACTCAATTGAAAATTGCCAAGTATCTTAAAAATCTTCTACAGGTTTGTGCATAAAACCTTGTTCCACAACACCAGCCAGTTCAAAGTCATCTATTCTTCAAGATAAGAATTCAAATATATTTCCACAATTCTCTTCATGATCAAAGTACACCATCCTCTGTCAATTCAATGTCCCTTTCCATTAGTACACATTACCATTAATCCTCTAATAGGAGCCATCATAGATCTTTTAGCATGCCTCCAGATTAGAAAGGGAAAAAAATTGAGTGTTCTGTTGTGACGTCTTACCACCACGTAGACCACCATAGATAAATATCAGGTCACCAATAGCAGCGGCAGCATGCCTACAGCGTCTCGTCAGTTCAACAGCAGCATCTCCACCAGCAGCATCAGCACTGTATCTGTCTGTCCTGGGAGTGGTAACAACAGACTTTGTATCACACCAGACTCCTGCCGCAGTATCCAGAACTACACACAGAAACATGACAAATCTGAGAAAAAGACTTAAGAAATAAATCGAACTAAATATCAGCATGCCTACAACGTCTCGTCAGTTCTACTCATTATTATTATTATTATTATTTTTGCTTATTCACATGAATGGACACAAAAAGAAATAATCGAACTAAATATCAGTTTGAGACCAAATCAAACTATAGCAGTAAATTTTACTTGGCAGAAGAAATTGATCCAAATCAAAATTAGGCCTACTGAGTGTGGAGGAAGGACAAAGAAGAGTGTGTAAAGCCCTCATGAATGTATCAACTAAAATAAGATACAAGCCAATAAGGATCCGGTTAAAAAACTAATGAACAAATTAAATTTTTTTAAAATATTCATGTATTTCCTCAGCATACTAATATTCAATACTCTATGCATTTACCTATATGAATCGAATTCAAATTAAAAAACGAGAGAGAAAGATATCAGTAGCAAGTAATTCGTCGTTTAATTCAAGACCTAAATTACTTCTGAGCTTCATCAAACTAAATTGAAATTGAAAACTGCAAAGAGGGCTTGAAATCAAAATTAAACAGAGCAATATAGAAATCAAGTACGACTAAAACATGTAACAAAGAAGAATTCAAAGCAGAACAACAAGATTATAAACTAGAAAAATCATTCAAAGATTAACCAAATTATGCTCTGTTTGGTTGCTAAGAAAATGTAACATAGACACAGGAAAACAAATATATATATATATATATATTTTACCTCAATTGAGGTCAGCTTCAGCTTTCTAGCCAAACAAACATAAAAGCATAATACTAAAAGTTTGAAATTATACAAACAAGAGGTTCAAAAACTAAAAGAAATTTAGCAAACAATCTAGAGAAATGTTCAGATCAAATTTCAAAGCCAAAGCAAATCAAGATTTAATAATTTAAAAAAATAAAATGAATCTTCGAATCAAAAAGATGTTTCAAAATCATAATCTACACCGCATTGATAAAAATAAACTGAATTGGAAAAAATTCATGTTGTTGCCGTTGATGTTGATCTTCGAAATCGAACAAAGCTATGAGTCAAAGAGAATTTGGGAGTTGAAAGAAAGATATTGAGATTACAGAGATTGAGAGTTGGATTCATACATAAAAATTAGGCTTACCGATTATGAATCGATCCAGATCTTCATCAACAGTAGATTGAAGTCTTCAAATCTTCATTAATAATCGATCAAAATCTTCATATCTTCATCAAAGTGAGAGTCGAGCGAGAGAGAGTGGAGAGTGGACAGTGAGATTCGAGCAAGAGAGAGTGGAGAGTCGACAATGAGATTCGAGCAAGAGAGAGTGGAGAGCTGAGTGATAGAGGAGAATTTGAGAGATTAACAGTATGATTTGTGAGATTTTGAGAGAGAGAGAGAGTGTTGGGAAATAAGAGTGAAGGGGGATAGGGCAAGTTTTACACAATTTGGGGGCCTTTTTTTTTCAATTAAGAACACGATTTTGGGGGTTAAGTAAAACGGAATTTTGATGGAAAAAGTATATTTTGCGACTGTTAAATAATCAGTCACAAAAAAATAGACGCAAAAAATCATATTTCTAGTAGTGATATATATATATCATATATTTAAAAATCTAAGCTCATGTATATACGGATCTTGTATATTTGAATCAGTGAGGAGGATTTGCGAAATCAGTGAAGATGATCTGTGAAATCCATGAAGACGATCTCAAAATCTGAAAATCTCGCTGCCAATGATTTCACCCTTGGTCAACAATACACGATCTCACCATCGACAATCAACACTCTCAATGAAACAAGAGATTATGTTTCAAATCTGTACAAATCTGTATCAGATTTAGAGACTTTTATCGAGATTTGTAAGTGTTGATGGAGTTTGAGGTTTTGCTTCAATTACGTGTTTGATTATTGTTCAAGTTCAATAAGGTATGTTGATTTGCTAATTAGTTTTTTTTGTTTTTGGTTTTGATTTATTTTTATTGTGTATGATCTGATTTTGTTTGGTAGAATGAGAGTAAAATTTTACTTTGGTATGTGTTCTGTTTTTGTTTGACAGAATGAGAGTACAATTTTACTCTGATAGGTGCTCTGATTTTGTTTGACAGAATGAGAGTAAAATTTTACTCTGGTATGTGTTCTATTTTTGTTTGACAGAATGAGAGTAAAATTTTACTCTAATATGTGCTCTGTTTTTGTAATAACCCCGATCCACAATTAGCCACTAATCGGTAATTAAGGATGTTTGTAAAAAAATTGATGTATTATTGATTGATATAGTTTTGTATATAATGACTCTCCTATATATAGAAGAGAAAAACATATTTACCTACCACACTCAACTCTCACCTAACACACTTACATCTACCTACCACACTCAACTCTTAGCTAACACACTCAACTTTACCTACCACACTTACAGCCCCCCTCAAACTCAAGGAGGATAGATACTAACCAACTTGAGTTTGGAGAGAGTAACAAAACAGGAAAGTACATAAAATAAAGGAGGATAGGAGACACTGTATGGTCGTGTCAGACCGTTGGTGAAGACACTATATGGTGGTGTCATAATGTGGTAGAGGACACTGTATGGTGGTGTCATAACGTTGTAGAGGACACTGTATGGTGGTGTCATACCGTTGTAGCAGATAAAGTCTGGACAGGTGACGAGGTCACACCGGACCAATGTAGAAGCTAACCGGAATCAATGTCGGGACAGTTTACAGATGTCATAACGTGGTAGAGGACACTGCATGGTGGTGTCATAACGTTGTAAAGGACACTGTATGGTGGTGTCATACCGTTGTAGCAGATAAAGTCTGGACAGGTGACGAGGTCACACCGGACCGATGTAGAAGCTAACCGGAATCAATGTCGGGACAGTTTACAGAGTCTTGTCAGACCCATAAAGGAGCTAACCGGAATCAATGTCGGGACAGTTTACAAAGTCTTGTCGGACCCATGAAGGAGCTAACCGGAATCAAAGATAATGGTGTAGAGGACACTGGATGGCGGTGTCAGACCGCTGTAGAAGACAGTTTATGGGGTCATGTCGGACCGTTGTAGCAGGACACTGTGTGGTTGTGTATATAGGCTGCCCAAAAGATATACATGTAGATATATATATCGAGCCCTCAAAAGTCGCGCCCTCAAAAGGCGCGCCCACTTTATCAAAAGATGTGCCCGACAGAAATCATCGAGCGGCGAGCCATCAAAAAGCGCGCCAGACACGCGGCGATGCACGTGACCGACAGAACGCGTGTCGGCCTCTTCGTCAGGGTCTTTATAAACCGAAGTGGAGGCTGAGGCTTGGAAGCATAACAAACCAGTTGAAACCTCTGCATTCTCAGAGAGCTTGTCTCGAAGAGCTGCAAATCTTGAAACACTCTGTAACCAACCCTGTCTGACAGTACCAATCGGTAATCGCTGCTTCTCTGAAACACTTAGCAACCCAAAAACATGGCCTCTTCTTCCCGTTCAACTACCCAGAACATGGCCTCTTCTTCCCGTGGTCTGCTCACTCTCTTTCCCGACCTCAACGAGTCCACAAGAGAGATAACCGGTGCGGTTGCCCGTGAACCTCAACCAAGTGCCCCTGAGTTTGCTCCGCTGACCTTTCCTATGCGGTCGGTGGAGCAAAGAATGGCAGCACAAACAGATATTGAGGCCAATCAATATACATTGAAGTCATGCGTGGAGACCATGACTGCGGTCACAAACCTGTCACACCGGCTTCAGAGTAAGACAAATGAGGTGCAGCAGTTAAACTCCCAACTGGCTCTGCTCCAACGCATGTATAAGGATGCGCGAGCAGAGATAAGTGTGCTAAAGGCGGAACATAAGCTTTGTTAATGAGAGGATTAAAATAAATTATGTGTATATTATGTATTTTGCTTGATATTTGGCTTTCTATCTGTTACTTGTAGAAATATCTGTTTAAAATTCCACTTTAATATGTAAATTGAGGGCCTCATTGGCATCCGAAACTGGAATTGATTAGAGCAATAGGTTATTTGGAATTTTTAGAATCATATGGCAAGTTTGATTAAAAATTGATTCGGAACGATTCATTAAGTTGCGTTTGGCAAGCCTTTTATTTTAATTAATGTATTTTAGCATCATAGCTATATATATTTGAGCCCTAAGCTCATTTTTGAGCTCATTTCTTTTACCTCTTAGTGCCAAAATCTGAGATTCATTTTAGAGAGAGAGAGTGCAATTCTAGAGAGAGAGAGAGGAAGGGATTGAAGAAGAATTGAAGGTTTTGTGTTGAATTCATCAAGATTGAGCTAGAACAAGGGTGATTCAAGACTCTAGGTAAGATTGCAACCTCTAGATTATGCATCTAAGTCATTTAACATGAGTTTTCTTCTAGATTATGTGTTTAAATTGTGTTCATGAGCTTAGGATGAAGGAATTGTTGCTAAGTTATACATGCATGTATAAATTTGTCAAGAGCTCCCATGTTTGAGCATCATTCATACCATTAGAGATGAAATTACAAGCTAGAAGTCACATGAATGTTTGAATTATCATGTTTTGAACTTTGTTTCATGTTTTGGAAAATAATTTCTTACATGCATGGAGTTTATGAGCTCAAATTTGCTAACTTCATGAGCTTTGGAGAAAAGAGTTGTATGTTCTTATATGCATGGGAGTTTTGGTTCTAATTTTGGTAAATTCATGGGTTTTGACTAAAAAGAATCGGTGAAAATCATATATTCATGTTTATGAATAAGTTTTCCAAGTTTATGAACAAGCTTTGCACGAATTTGCCATTAAAATCACATTTTGCAGCTCAAACCCTGTTTTGAAAAATCCAGAATTTTACAGTCCGCTCGAGCGAGGAAACCTGCGCTCGAGCGGAGAATGTGAGCTCTCAGTATTTTTTTTTTCAGACATGAGCTCTCCACTCGAGCGACCACTTGGACGCTCGAGTGAACTCTTTGCATGTTGTCGATACGCTCGAGCGTGGGAGTTGTAGCTCTAGCGTGGATTTCGACCAACCAATACGTTTTCCAAGTTTGCAAGTCGCTCGAGCGGAGGAAGTCACGCTCGAGCGGCCCCTCTCATTTTGCATGTCCGCTCGAGCGAGGAAGTCTACGCTCGAGCGGGGACCTTATTTTCAGAAAATTTTACCAAGTGTTCCAAGGCATGTTTTGGCATCCTCAGTGCATCTAAGGCATTCCTAAGCCTTAATTAAGCCATAGTAATGAGGTTATGGATTAAAAACACACTAAGGAAAGAATGTTCTAAGTTATGAGATTCAAGGGTGTGTTTTAAGCAATGTGTTAAGCAAGAAACCTATGTAATAAGAAAGTTAAGCTGTGTTGGCCATGTGGATGTGTAATAATGAGATATGTTGGGTTACGTACCTTTGTGTTTGTAGGTCAACGTCTGAAGATTGATTAACCGTTTGCGAGAACCACTGTGAGTAACATTTCTGTAAAGATATGTTGATATGAATTATGTTCCAAATGAAATATGATAAGTTATGATTTCTGAAATGATATCTGTTTACGTGAACGAACATCCCAAGTTTGAAATCTATTATGGCATCCATAGATAGTCCCAAGTCATGGGGGACGGCATGAAAATGCGGGTCCATGACATACAAGTTTATGAGCTCTCGTTAGCCACTTCATTGTGGTAATATGTGTTTAATCGGTATCCGGAACCGATTACTCTAGTCAGAAGACGTTCTGTGATGTGTTCTATGGGATGTACCATTATTATGTTCTGATATGAGAATGATTATGCTATGATCTGTTTCCGCTTATGATATGTTCGGATTTCGTTCACTAATCCCTTTACCTTAATGTTATTCACTGGGCTTTACCTCACTGTTTGTATATATATGTATATAGGTGAGCATTCTGGAGTTCAAGCCTGAAAGCTTTTGTCTGGAACTGTGTTTCTGTTGTTGGCTAACCATTATGCCTCACGTGGAGGTTCCCAAAGCGTTTTGTGTTTAAGTTTTGTAATTTCTGTTTACATAAGACTTGATTTGATGTCGTTGGTTGTACTTAAAATACTGTAATGTGTGTGGGTATAATGTATGAATGACTTTTGATTATGTATATAAAGTTTTAAATATTCTGTTCATATAAGTTAGCACAGTTCATTGGACAACTATATTTACGTATTTGCTTCCACTAGCCCCTTAATTTTGTTAATCTATTCAGAGGCCTTCGGTAATCCAAGAATTACTGGCTGGTTACGATACTAAACCTATAGGGGCGGGTTTGGGTCGTGACAGTTTTTGTTTGATAAAATGAGAGTAAAATTTTACTCTGGTG